TAGCTCTGGCAGGAGGGTGCAGCCCGTGCCCAAGCACAGGCAGTTCTGCACGGAGCTGTTACTGGCTCTCAGGTGCCCTGGGGCTGACACCTCTGGCTGCAGCCTCCCAGCAGGCATGAAAGCAAACATTTTTGCCCCGTTTGCCCCCAAAGCAGCCTGGCTCCCTCCCTCCCTAGCTAGCCCAGCCCTGGCTGCTAGCGGGGTCTGGGTTACACAGCACTGAGCAGGGTGCCCACTGGTTGGGAGGAAGGGAAGCTGGATGTTGGCATCTTGTGCTCAGTTGGTTAAGTGTGACATGTTTGCAGGAGGAGTTACCAGCTGGGAGGAGAAGCTCCTTAGGGACTCCCTGACACTCATACTACCCCAGCCCCTTCCCGGGGAAGCAGACCCACAAGGCCTCTGCAGCCTGATTGGAAATAGTTTTGCAGAGCCAGCTAGGGACAACACTGGCATATCCCTGAACAAAGTTACTGCCTGCAGCTGGTCTGCTAAAGGGCCATGCTTTCTGCAGCCCCTAGCTGGGCAGGATGCCTTGCTGGGAAATGGGTGGCAGTGGCAGCAGGTGGTGCCAGACAGTGCGTATTGTCTTGGATTGGTACTGCTCCAAGGTGCTAGGGAACATGGTGCTGTGGGAGGAGAGGGAGGACCCAGGTTCTTGTGCCTCACAGTAGACTCAGATCCCAGGGTGCTTGATACATGCATGTTGTCCAGCTGGTTGCTCCTAGTGCCACTCCTTTGAGGCACCCCTGGCACTTCAACTGCTGTGTCCTCAGTCTCTAACTGGGAGGACTCAGTGACAGCATAAGCACTCTGCTACCTGGTAGTCCCTTCCTGTGCCCAGGCCCCTACCAAGGGAGCTGAAACAGAAATATGAGGGAGCAAGCTGGGACAGACAGGGTGTTAATGAGAAGGGCAGCCTGGCCATGCCCCTTCTGCCTCCCAGTTCCCAGAACATTATGAGCTGTTATGCATCTGCTGGGAGCTGCCCCAGCAACAGTTGTGTTTCAGATATGGGTGCAGCAATTCCTTTGTTTGTACTGAAAGGTATATTTAAATGCTGAATTAATGCTTCTAGCAGCTAAACCTAAGTTTAACACACACACTGCATAACTGCACTGATCTGGGCAGCATTGAAGGGGCTGACCCAGACCTCCCTACATAAACTGCAGTAACTGGTGCCTGCCTGGCAGCTCACAGTCTCACTAGCCAGGACAGGCCCAGGGTGGGACACATCAGAGGATGGCGAATGTAATGGCAGCAAAGGGCAGATTTGTGCTGAGAGAGGATTAGCAAAGTGGAAAGAAGGAAAGGGATGAGCAGGCCAGAGGGGCATGTGTGCAGGAAGCAGAGGTGGAGCAACTGGGAGCAAACATGAGTTAGCAAGAGGCCCTGAGTACCCAGGGGTCCCTGCTGTGGCACCCCAGAGGAAGGGGAAGGGTTAGTGAACAGGAAGCCCAGGAGAAGTTGCCACGAGGCTGAGCTTTCATCTCTGCTCCAGACAGGAAAAGGGCTTTAGCAGCAACAGCAGGTCTCCACCCTTCTCCCAGAGCTCCCTGCCAGGTACCAGCACTGCAGTGTAGCAGAGGTTCCCCCTAGCTGCAAGGGGCAGGTCAGCCTTGGGCAGGTGGAAAGCGTTGCTAGAAGGCAAGTGATGAACTCATGCTGGGCTGCAGGTCAGGGTCATTTCCAGGAGCAGGGGCTGATCCATGCAGCTTGCCAAGGGCATGGAGCTTCCCACTAATGCACCAGCTGAAGGTGCCAATAAGTTTTTGTGGTGTGTGCCACAGAGCATGTGAGTGTAGCACCCTCAGGTTAGTGATGCTAGAGAATGGGCATCTCTGCTGTAACCCAGGCTACAGCATCATGTCAGCATCTCTCTTGGGATCCAGGTGGGCAGGTCAGAATGACCAGGGTATTTCCCCAGCCCATGCCCTGCTCAGCTGCTGCTTTTGCACCAGACTAGGAAGGCGATAGGCCCTTGCCTGCTACTGTGCATCTCCTTTCAAGCTACCCTCATCCTTCCTGGAAGCAGGTTTGTGGAACTGCCCAGGCCCCTGTGCTGTGGGTAGGGGCTGGGATTCCCCCAAACTGTGGGCCATTTTGAAGAGGTTGAGTACCTTGGGCCCTCGGGGTGATGCTTTGCTTGGCTTTGGCAGGTACCAGGATCATCTATGACCGCAAGTTCCTGCTGGAGTGTAAAAACTCCCCCATTGCTAAGACTCCGCCCTGCTGCCTCCCACAGATCCCTGGTGTCACCACTCCAACCCATACAGCACTCTCCAAGCTTGAGGACCTGAAAGAGCAAAATGAGCTGGAGGAAGAGAGTCCAGGTAGGAGCTGCATACATAGCAGCCTGCCCTGGCCCTTCCTTTCCTGAGGGGCCTGGCTGTAAGGTAACATCTTTAGAGTGGTCTATCCTGAGAAGAAGTTTGAGTGTATGGGGCAAATCCCACTGAGCTGCAGGCACTAACAACTTCTCTGCAGGAATCAGTGCACCAGACTGCAGCTCCCCCACCACCATTGGGACCAGTCTGCATAGGGCAGTCATGCCTGGAGGACTGTAGAAAATTGCATTAATTCCTGCCTTGGGTTGGCCTGAGCCAGAGCCTGATACCGCCACACACACACACACACACACACACACACACACACACACACACACACACACACACACACACACACAC